CACACACACACACACACACACACATTTACCATGAAATATTAGTTCACCCAGCACTCTTTCTATTTCTTCTTGAATTAATCCATTCCACTTGATTAATAGGAGAATATCAAACCATTAATAGTTCACTCCGGGTTTTCCTGGTTACCTACAACAACTCACCACACCTCGTGCAGTGTTTCTCTGAGGTCACTTGGTATGGCAGGGGGTAGGAAGCATGAGAAAAGTGGCGTATGCTCTATTCACACAAGGAGAGCTGTTGGTCAGGCTACTTTCTTGTTGTGTCATGCTCTAAAATAGTTACTGATTCAAGTGTTTATTTATGGAGGTAAACCTAGATGTTTAACATCTGGTTAAACTACACCAGAATGCAGGCAATGGCTTCTACTTTAATCATATTGTTCTGGGGGAGGACCCCCAGACCCTCCCATCAGTTTGTCCCCTCCCCCACATTACAAATGCTTCTGACGCCAGTGGGGTCCACGTTGAATTAAAACAAAGTGCTCTGCTGAAAAACACACGGAGAACTCACCTGTAAACGTTACACAACAATGTGAACATTCTTACCAAAACTTGTCAAACTTTTTTGATACCAAAGGGCTCTTTCATGGTCGTAGCCATTGTTTACCTGTTATCAGTCCCTTCGGCTGTTTTCATAGACCAACAAACCCCACTTGATAGCACCCATTAACAATCTCTGCTTCCATATTTTTACTTTAAAGACCCAGTAACCATCAATATGAGCAAGAAATGTCTAGATTTTATTGCTTTCTTTGACATTGTTATGACTGGTCTTAATGACATTAATGAGTCCTTTAATACAGCTAAATTGTTTTCTTTTTTGTTTGTTTGTTTGTGGCATTGTGTTAGCTGCCTTATCACATACTAAAAGTAGGGGTGTTCTGATTCTAGTTTTCTTCAGCCTGAGCATTAATACTTCAGCTTGGGTACTTGCCGATACTGAGTACTGATACCTAGCAATTAATGAGTTATTATTTAAACTTTTCCACTTGTTTTATTAAGAACACAGTCTGTTGTCTTAATATGACCTGTGTTTATCTTAAAATATCTCTAAACTTTGGGCATTTTTCATTTTTGGAATAGGAAATGCCATCACCAAGCATAAAAGTGGTGTAAGTATGAGTACTTGAGGCTGATATCGGGCCACCACTGACTACGCTAAAGCTGCTTTAGTTAAATATATATAACAACATAACTATAACAATATGCACAATTTTTCGCAATACTGTTGGTCTCATGAGATGTGTTAGTGCTCAGTGAAAGTGTTGAGGATGACTTTCAGCTACTGCCACACCACTTTTTAGCTCAGTAGCTGCAAAAATCACCAACATTCATGTGCATGCTAAAGACGATTAGCTGCAGTGGCCATCTTGAATTGAGTTAGCCCCAAAAATTAAACAAATTAGTTTCCAACAGTTTCATTAAAATCTCTTCAGCAATTTATGATTTTGCATACAGTAAAAACAAAAAGTCACACACATGATGACACGAGGAACATTATTGTTCCACCACAACATATTTTTCACACAGTCAAGTTAGATTGTTGAGGAGTTCCTCCCTAAACGCTGCAGATTATTGGGACTTTTTCAGGCCTGTTTAAATTATAGTCACACGGCTTCAGGATTGCCTGCAACAAAAGAGAGGAAGCCCACCACATTTCACAAACGATGCGTACGTCAAATCTGATTAGACTGACCCAGAACCAGCCTGCAGACGTCAACAGTTCATTTGGACGTTTACTGGTTCAAATGGCACTCGTACAACAACGAGCCATACATTTGTAATGAACCATGTGCTAATCTATTCCTAATCCAATAATAATTCATTTCCTTAAGAAATACATATCACCCGCCGCCTTTCAAGCAAAGATTTTTTGTTGTGCATCCAAACCTTGAAAACATTGTCATACATGAGTATTTGTGCAGTGGTTTATGTGATATTCAGCTGACAAGAAACAGATTAGACTCTGAATAGATAATAAGTTCAGACTAAATGTTAGCGATCAGTCTCAGTTACTATCTCCCCAAAATCTAGGTCAGTGTTTTTCAAATTGTCTGATTCACATGCAGTTTTGTGTTTTTTAAATTCAGTTGGCTGTGGCAACCGTCTGGAATCGGGATGACTTCAAAATATAGTCATCTGTAGGCGTACATCCAGTGATTACTTTCTGCAAGTTTTATTAAAATTAACTCTGTGAGTCATGAGATATTTTGCTAACAGACAAATAAATGCATATGTACACAAACGCACAAAAACTAATAACAATAAAATAGAATCCTGAGCTTCTCACCCAGATTAACTAAAGTGAGAAACTATATAAAAGTAGATAAATTATATAATTTCTGAACAGACCATAGATTCTATGGACTTTGATGTATTTTTATATAAATATATAAAAAAAAACAATAGGTGAATCAGTTCTCCAGTAGTTTGACACAAGTACATGCACTTTTTTTCTCACTTCCTCCGGCTTTTTATACAATAAAAGAGGGAAAGATTATGAAACGGAGGTTTGAGAGAGGCTGTTTTAGAGATGGAGGCACGTTTGGAAGAGAAGGAGAGCAAGGGAAAAAAAAAAAATCATAATCAATTGAAGCAAACCTTGGAATAAAGAAACGTGCTTTATGTATTTATGGTGTGTTTATGGTGTGTTTATGGTGGCCCGTAGCATCGCTCCGCTCGGCTTCCTGCCTCTTGTCACCAGGGTGAACAGGTGACACTCGCAGCTCGGATCAGGAGTCAGATAAGGCTGCTGAGAGATAAATGAAGCTGCGCTTACATCTTTGTAGGTTTCCGGTGATAATTTACACCTCTGCATTTAAAACGTTGCACTTTCAGCACGTCTGAAAAGATCTGGATTCTGTTCTTCTGTCTTTAAGCTACAAATGAAAACAGATCCCGGTATGTTCACATTGCACTCGTTGATAATTTAGGTCATGTATCATGATGTTGAGGCACTAAATGGCCTCATTTATCTCTGAGCTATTTCGCTTCTGCCATAGCTCTGGAAGCGTGCGGTGAATCAGATACTAAACATTGCCATGAATAGAAACGCTCCCACCCTTTCAGAATTCTGTTTCAATGAGGCCCTTGTGCATGACGATTGTAGCATATTTTTGGAAACTTTTTATGTGACAGGGGTCGCCTGCATTCTAACGTTTGAGCACAGTGGGTTGGTGTTACCCTTATGTGGGCTGGCTGCTGCACTGGCTGACATCTGAACATGAGCCGAAGCTCCGTGTGTGAAAGAGACGCTGTGTTGCAAAGCTGCAGCTTCTTTTCAAAACTCAAAAGTGGCTGCTGTCATGCACCCTCTTCAGTTCTGGCAGCAGCAAAAAAAAAAAAAAGAAAAAAAAAAGTCTCTGAAATGCCATTTTCAAGTCTTCAGCCCACACATCTGTTTCCCTGAAAGCCTTTGGTTTGCGTTGTGTAAGGGCACGTTTGGTTTTCTTAGGCACTCGAGAGGTGAGCTTTGCTCAGCTCCAGTTTCTGCTGAGGCGGCGTGCTGCACAGGCAGGTGTGATTTCGACATGCGAGCCTCAAAAGTGTCTCTGAGTTCTTGTGCGCACAGAGCAAACCGCACGATCAAAGCGTAGCTCCGTGAATCTAGTTCATAGACAAAACCAGCCCTTCTTTGTTCTGCTTTCCCTCCTTTTTCCATCAACTGTAATAAACTCTTGTATTAATGTTAAAAATAGGCTGCAGTGGATTATCTGTATTTTATTTTGTAAAAAAAAAAAAAAAAAAAAAGGCCTCCCATTGTAGCACATCTGGGGACTTTTGTTCCATAGATGCTCAGTAGAGGCCTAAAGGCAGCTTCAACCAGTGATTTCATCTGTCTGGAACTCACACACTGTTCAGGGCAGCTGGCAGGCAGCATGAGACCGTTGTATGGTGGAGGACTTTGGTTCTTCTGTTGGTCTTCAACCTGACCCGCATTAGAAGGGTTATATATACAGTATAAAGTTAACATCCCTTATCTCTTTTATAAATTCTGCATCTCTTACACGCCTCAATTTAAACTTTAGCTTTGCTGATGTAATGTCCTTTAAAGGAATCTTTGAAATTGCATGAAGTGATGTTGGTGGAAAGTTAGTGACTAATGATTCCCTTTAGTTTTTGTAGGTGGCTGTTTGATGCTCTCAGTTTGGAGAGATGCAGTTTCATTCTGACCAGACTTACAAACGATTGGTTCGAATGATGTCAAAACTTAAGTAACGTGGTGCCATCATAAATAAACCCAAATCTGAAATATTTCATGTTGGTATAAGCTTACATTATTTTATACATGTTTACACTACCCTTATCTCACTTTATAAAGTTATTCCTGGAGAATTTGCATAATATTATTTCTGGAAGTGTTTCAGGCAGCAACACAAGCGGTTAACCAGCTTTTAGCTTCTCTGTTTTAACTTGTAAATAACTACAAAGATTTTTTAATTAACACAGTAATCAGAATAAACTTTATTATCATTGCACCGAGATATAACGAGAACACGTATGTACAGTCGTCCAAAAGATGGGCGGAGTGCACGAAGCTGCTGTTTTCAGACGGCAGCAATCTACCGTCATTTACAAACTATTGAGCGCACCTGAATCTTAAGGTTTTTTCCTCATGAGGGAGTTTTTCCTTTCCACTGTCGCCTTCATGCTTGCTCAAGATGAGAGTTCTGTGATGGAGTTAAACTCAAAGCAGTCTGCTCCTCAGATAAATAATGTTAAATTATTATTTTTATATATGAATGTTTCTGTTCAGTGCCCTGAAATGACTTCTGTTGTGACTTGGCGCTATATAAATAAACTGAATTGAATATAAGCCACGCCCACTAAATTCAAAAATATATATTTTTTGTACATATATAAGCTGCACTTGTGTATAAGCCACACGTGTCCACGTTGTAATATAAGATATTTACACAGATTATTATTATTTTTTTACTTTTAATGAAATACATACTGGTAACATACACATATATGTACAGTAAATGTTTTTTTTTTTTTTTTCTGAACAGTGCCTGTAACACAGCTGGATTAAAAAAAGAATAAATAAATAAAACAGTAGCCTATCAGGACGTCATTGAGTGCCAACTTCATCTTCCTCCTGCGCACTGTGCCCTTCAGCTTATGCCGTCCTCTTCATCATGCAGCTGCCTTTCGAAACCCGTTGGCGATATTTTTTTTACCCTGCTCCACTGTCGGGATCCACTTTTGCAGACTTGAGAAAAAAGTTGCTTTTCACATGCGGCCAGTTTTGATAGACGATGTCTCGCCGCTAGTCATCCAAGCCTCCCACTGAGCTTGGAGTGCCACATTAATGCACGATGCATACTTATTTCAAGTGGCTGCAAATACTTGCTTGTGCCCTAATACTTCGAAGTTTCCTCACTCCCTGGGGACACAATGGGGAGAGGAGGAGAGTCCCCTCCTCCCCAGTGACCTGTTCGGTAATTTCATTGGTCAGATTTTTTTAAACCTTTATTTGTACAGGTATTCTCACTGAGTCATGAGGACCCACCCCCTAAGAGAGACGTGTATTGGGCAGCTATGTGAGCACCTAGGTGTGACGAGGCTAAATGTTTTGGTGGCATGAAGCTCGTTAGCTCATTTAAAACAAATCCATAAATTAGCTGCAGCATTGTATAAACTGTGGTGTTCAAAGCGTGTCAAGAAAGTAGCGGCTTGTAGTCCGGAAATTACGGTACCTTGTCTCTGTTCAAGCTAGCCTTGAGCTCATCAGTCAAGTCAGAATTAAACTTGATTTCTTCAACCTGAGGTCAGTCAAAGAGCTGTCCAACAGGCAAATTATCAACGCTTCACATTCTTTCCACAGAAAGAAAGCATAAAGAGTCCCCTGGATTGCATTGAGCTTTAATGTTCTCTTCATCATTCTTATTCTTGTTTGTTGATCAGAGTTTTGGGGCTTTTAGCCAATAATTCAACTTCAGATTAGGGATTGTTCTCCAAACCAGATCTCTTTGACGAGGTCGGACACTTACCTCAGTACAGCCAGCATCAGCACAAACAGTTAAGCATTCTTTCAGTCTCAGCGCCTCAAACACCTTCTGTCCTTCTCCCATCTGTTCTGCAGGCAGCGGCCCCATCCAGCTGTGGCAGTTTCTGCTGGAGCTGCTGACCGACAAGTCCTGCCAGTCCTTCATCAGCTGGACAGGCGATGGCTGGGAGTTTAAGCTTTCTGACCCAGATGAGGTGAGAGGTTGTGACCCTGCTGGTCGCTAGCACTCAAGATGGGAGGTCCTGAGTAGCTGGCCAGATGAACAAGATGTCGTCTTTGTTAACAGCAAAACAGTTGCCTTTTGTGTCTGGCTTTAATGACATTTTAGAATACTTACCTAGCTTTGCATTAGCAGTGCTATTGTTTCAAGATGTGGCTTCATGTCAGACTTAACCCAATTAGTAACTTTATTTTTTTATTTTTTGGTGTCTCAGGTCGCTCGCAGATGGGGCAAAAGGAAAAACAAGCCCAAGATGAACTATGAGAAACTGAGCCGTGGCCTGCGTTACTACTACGACAAGAATATTATCCACAAGACATCCGGGAAACGCTACGTTTACCGCTTTGTCTGTGACTTGAAAAGCCTGCTGGGCTACACGCCCGAAGAACTGCACGCCATGTTGGACGTAAAGCCCGATACGGACGAGTGAAAGACGCCTCCGAAAGACAAAGAGAGGACAAATGTTCAGGAGCCACACGGACTGAGGCTCATGAAGTGGGTCTAAGCATTCAGTAGAGCTGGTAACCCATTTATCGGCAGACCAAAAAGTGTTTCAAAGACTAAAGTGTGGTCTTCATCAACTTTGAGCTCCTGACTCTCAGTGTGATTTCAAAAGAAGGCAGAAGCCAAAAACCTGTATTCAAACCCTGTTGGATTGGAAATGTGAGAGTGTGTGAGAGTGTGTGAGTGAATCTGGTTCCTGCTTTATTTAGCAGTTCAAGGCAAATAAAGACCTGTTGGGTAGAGTTCAGGTTAGTTTCTGTTCGGTTCTGTCCAAGCAGCAAAGTGGAGGAGGCAAACCAACAGAACCAAAAGAGAAAATGATTCTTTCCATCGTCGGGTTAGACTGACAGCAGTGAAGTTCCTGCTGAGATGACGGTTGCCAAAATGTAAAACTGAACTTAGGAAGGTGTTGTGTCATATTTACAGACGTGCTGTTAGTGTAGAGAGGAAGAGCGTTTCAGTGAGAACCAGAACACGTGTGTTAGGATTCAGTGTTGTGCCAGTATCATGTTGTTAAAATGCCCAAATTAAACCCACAGAGCCGGTTTCTGTCCAGAAGTGGACTGAAGTGGAAAACTTAAAACTGAGACTAGACTGTTAGGATCTCAGTGATTTGTGTCAGCCTACACTGTAGACCCGGTTCTCTGTAGACCCAGTGCACTGTAGACCTGGTTCTCTGTAAACCCAGTGCTCTGTAGATCCAGTACTATGTAGACCTGGTTCTCTGTAGACCCAGTGCTCTGTAGACCCAGTACTCTGTAGACCTGGTTCTCTCTAGACCTGGTTCTCTGTAGACCCGGTGATCTGTAGACCCGGTGCTCTGTAGACCTGGTTCTCTGTAGACCTGGTGCTCTGTAGACCTGGTGCTCTGTAGACCTGGTTCTCCGTAGACCCGGTGCTCTGTAGACCCAGTACTCTGTAGACCTGGTTTTCTGTAGATCCAGTACTCTGTAGACCCAGTGCTCTGTAGACCTGGCTCTCTGTAGACCTGGTTCGCTGTAGACATGGTGCTCTGTAGACCTGGTTCTCTGTAGACCCGGTGCTCTGTCGCCCTGGTTCTCTCTAGACCTGGTTTTCTGTAGACCCGGTGCTCTGTAGACCTGGCTCTCTGTAGACCTGGTTTTCTGTAGACCCAGTGCTCTGTAGACCTGGTTCCCTGTAGACCCGGTGCTCTGTTGCCCTGGTTCGCTGTAGACCCGGTTCTCTGTAGACCTGGTGCTCTGTAGACCCAGTGCTCTGTAGACCTGGTTCTCTGTAGACCTGATTTGTTGTAGACCTGGTGGGAATTACCAGTATTCATTCCTGGAAATTTTAAACTGAAAGTATCTGTTTCTTTAGAAACTGACTGACTCACCTTTACGCACAACGTTGCCACCTTGTCACAGACACATAGAACGACTGAAACTTGTGTTTTTATCGTGTTCTACCAGTATTAGCAACCTGTAGACAATCTGTGTGGGAAAAATTCAGGAGCTGTTTGTAAAATCAGTGTTTCAAATGAGATAATAGAAATCTGTCCAGGTTTGTTGTGTTTTAATAGTCCCTGTCTACGAATTCACAAGTTATTTAACCCAAGGAGAGGTTTGTTTTTACAAAAGAATGCAGAACGTCAGATTAATTCAGCCTGTTCTGAAGTCAGTTTTGGTCAAGAGAAAGCATGTAGAGAGATCAAGAGTTGTTGGATGAGAGGAGAAGGGGACAGAGAGAGAATGGGGAACCGTTTGGTTTAGAGGGATGTGGCAGAAAAGAATGGCTGCTTGGGATGTAGAGTAGATGGCAATAGAAGAAGCGGGTTACACATACAGGATTCAGGAACAAACACAATGATGGTATTTGTGCACACTTTACAGCTGGTTACATTAGAGTAAATTGGCAGCAGACCCCACCCCACCTCCTCCCAGACAGTGGGAACAGTGTCTGCACACTGGGAAATGCCAAAGTTGAATATTGTCTTGGACATTATTGTTTACAGTGGCTGAATGTTACCCCTTATGGATGAAAATAGCTTTGGAGATGTCTATTTGTACAGATTGTATTTCATAACGCTTTATTGGGGACCTGGATTACGCAAACAAGCAGGAATAATAACCAAAACCCATGTGAGGTCTGTGGCTCCGCGGTGTTTGAAGAAGTCTCCATGTGTTTTTGAATGTGTCGTCTTTTAGTCGGGTTTTGGTTCAGTCTTTGTGAAGCAGACAGCCTCACTGCTGTAGTTGTTTGTGTCTTCGTGAAGCTCTGACTCAGTCCAGAGAATCGGATCAGTTGTAAACTGCACTGTGGGATCATTCCTTTTCTACGACCAGACTTTTGTTGTTTTGTTTTATTTTTTCTCATGATGTTCATAAGAAAGTATTCTTTTGCCGAAAATGAGTGTTTTAATTTCCACGTGGGAGACTTCGACCTGCTGCAGGACCTGTTTTAACGACTCGGAGGCGAGCGTCCACGTACCGATGCATATCTCAACACACGTTCAGAAGGAAAGCCTTGTTGTTCTTTTCTGTATATTTTATAGTGTCTTTTGTATTTTTGTTATGAGATCATTTTTTTTATTGTATTTAGTTCACAAACCTTTGAATATTTTTCAATAATTTATATTTTATAAAAGACGAGCGATGCAGACAGCTGGTGCTTTCACAGGAATTTAAAGGTAGTGCAGGACAAAATAATGTAGCGGTTTTTATTTTTTTGATTGTTTTATTATTATTATTTTATTTTTTTTATATAGAAAATAAACCTGTCTGCTAGAGAAAAAAGAAAAAAGAAAGGCTGATGCTGGCCCATCAATGATTTCTGCTGGAAAGGTTTTATAAACGGTAACTTCTATTTCTAAAATGTACTTCAAAATGTTATAAAATATATGTGGAGACAGATTTTACCCCTCTGTGTGGAGTTTCTTTTCATTCCGCTCGGAGCCGTCCCGTACGTTTGCAAACTTGCTAAAATTAGTCCCATATTTGAACTCCTGTTTTGATAAATGATAAATATAATTTTACTCACAGTAATATTAGCTGTAGCTTACTCTATGAATGAATGCATGTCGTCCAAAACCATTTATGATAAGAAATAATCAGTTATTATAGATGTTTTTATGTAAAATCTCAGGAAACATTCTATCTTCTTTAGGGATGCACAATATTGGATTTTTGGCCGATATGCCGATATGTTAAAACTTATTCGGCCAATTACCAATTCCAATACCAATATTTTATATACGTTCCTTTGTCAGAACATAGCCCTTTCTCTTATTTAGGCTTATTTGCTACAAAAAATGTGTAACAGCTGTAAGAGCTGGTGACAGCCATATGATATGCATAGCATTTTGACTTAAATGACAAGTGTTAAATATTATTTATTAGCATTAGACACCTGCAATGTTGTCTCACTTGTGGAGGCTTGTTCCAGGTTCGTAGCTGCAGTGTGGGATCCTCTGCACTCCTGTACATGAAGGACAGACTTTTTAAGTTCAAAGTTTTTGTCTATCCATTGTTCCGTAAGACTAATCATGCTAACGGGGCTAACACGACGTCTGTGGTAAAACTCATCCAAGTGCTATCGGCTATTAGTTTCTCAACGACGTCGGAAATGACGGCTTGTAACTCAGGTAATGTTACGTTGGAAAAATATCTCTGACTGGGGACGATGTAGCGAGGCTCAACAAAATCCATAAATCTTCGGAATCCGACGTACTCACCAACGAAAAATAAAACTTCCACACCGCTGACATTTTGAATTTTACTCTTAACCGTGAGCTCGGGTAGGCGCACGTGACGTCATCGTGTTGCGCTGCCGCTGTAACGTCATCACGTTGTGCTTCAACGTCATCACGTTGTGCTACCAGGCAAAAACAGTGCCTTTTATATCGGCAAGTTATTTTAATTGAATGGCCGATGTCTGATATTGAAATTTAACGTTAATATCGGCCGTTACCATGCCGATAATGTTGTGCATCCCTAAGGTTCTTGTATCGTATGTTCGCGCTGGCAAAGACAAACTACTATCAAACTTTTTGTTAATTTCACAGAGTTTAATCCATTGTCATGTAGACTAAAGTTGATTATCTGTGGCGGCCATCTTGATATGGTTAACTTCTATAGTTAATCAGTTGTAGATGTATAGAGCCAGTGATTAATTTGATTATTTCTGAGAGTTTTGTAAGTGCTGTCAAGTTGCTCATGAGATATTTTACTGACTGACAGGTGAATGAACACAGGCATAGACAAAAACATTATCAGCTGCAGTTTACTTTTAAGATATGAAACAATTTACTCAGTGGCTTCTACAGATTTTAATGATGTTTATTGGTGTAGACTCCTCAGCTGCAGGATTCAAGGCTCAATAAAACTGAAGAAATGCAGGTAAAACAACAACAACTTGGAACACTGACATGAAACTACAAACAAGAAATCTGAGTTTCTGTGTCCAGCTGACACCTGACCCATCATGTCCATGAAAATCTCCAGGATGTAAAACAAGAAAAAAATTGATCACCTATTATTTATTTTTATTTGTCACCACCTGACGCCAGGAAAGGCAGGCAATCATGCCAATGTCTGAGGGTGTTTGAGTGCCTCTTTGTTAGCAACATATCTGATGAACCACCAAACAGATTTTACTAAAACTCAGAAAGTAATGTTACATACACAATATTACCTTGTTTGGTAAACCTGTTTCAAGATGACTGTTGCAGATAATCAAAAATAGCAAACAGTTTTACAGATATTTGAGTAAAATTTAGTGTTAGAGGTTGTCAATCATTAACAAAAATACTCAGAGTCCTACTAGTTTCAGTAGCTGTTAGCTTAGTCTGGTCAGAATTAAACTCAAAATGAGGCTGATTAAACTCCTTATGTACAACAGGTAAGATAATTATTGTCCATAACTATTCCACAAAGTCCCCAAGTCAAAAATGCAGAACTATTATTGCTTTAACATGTTTTGTCTCCAAGTCTGTTTAATTTGATCAAAGTTAACACATTTCTATGCATCAAACAATCCCACGTGTTGCAGGGATCAAAGTTTACTAAACTT